AATATTTGCTGCACCCACTTTAATTTCTATAGTCTCCTTTTTCCTTCGGTTGCTTATAAGTACTGCTTCAGTTTTGTGGTCTGCAAGTTCCAAACCTGTTTTCTTAAGCCACGTTTTTATGATCCGTATTGTTTCATTTGAATACATTTCAACTTCATCCAAGAAGCGTGCCCTTACTACTATCGCGATATCGTCAGCAAATCCAATGATACTCGATTCTTCAGGTATGTTTAGCTCTAGCACCTTGTTATACATTATATTCCACAGGAGAGGGCCTAAAACCGATCCTTGTGGGACTCCTGATGAAGTTTTGTAGTGTTGTACTCCAATATCAGTTTCGTAGCAGAGAGTTCTGTTTCTGAAGTAGTCACCGATTATATTGGTCAGGTAAGCTGGAACATCCAGATTTCTGAGTGATTCCATAATGTGATTCCATCCGGCACTGTTGAATGCATTCTTTATGTCTAGGGTAATGATCGCACAGTATTTTTTATGCATACCCTTTCTATAGTCTAGCCTATAGACTAATCTATAGTCTAGTCTATAGTCTAGTATATAGTCTAGAATATTGTCTATCATATAGTCTATTCTATAGTGAAGTCTATAGTCTAGTCTATAGTGTAGTCTATATTCTAGTCTATAGTCTAGTCTATAGTCTAGTCTATATTCTAGTCTATAGTCTAGTCTATAGTCTAGTCTATAGTCTAGTCTATAGTCTAGTCTATAGTCTAGTCTATAGTCTAGTCTATAGTCTAGTCTATAGTCTAGTCTGTAGTCTGGTCTATAGTCTTGTCTATAGTCTAGTCTATAGTCAAGTCTATAGTCTATAGTCTAGTCTATAGTCTAGTCTATAGTCTAGTATATAGTCTAGTCTATAGTCTAGTCTATAGTCTAGTCTATAGTCTAGTCTATAGTCTAGTCTATAGTCTAGTCTATAGTCTAGTCTATAGTCTAGTCTCTATAGTCTAGTCTATAGTCTAGTCTATAGTCTAGTCTGTAGTCTAGTCTATAGTCTAGTCTATAGTCTAGTTTATTGTGTAATCTATAGTCTAGTCTATAGTGTAATCTATGGTCTAGTATATAGTGTAATCTACAGTCTAGTCTATAGTGCAATCTATAGTCTAGTCTATAGTGTAATCTGTAGTCTAGTCTGTAGCCTAGTCTATAGTCTAGAATATAGTCTAGTATATACTCTATAGTCTAGTAAAAAGTGTAATCTGTAGCCTAGTCTATAGCCTAGAATATAGTCTATAGTCTAGTCTATAGTCTAGTCTATAGTTTAGTCTATAGTCTAGTCTATAGTCTAGTCTATAGTCTAGTCTATAGTCTAGTCTATAGTCTAGCCTATAGTCTAGTCTATAGTCTAATCTATAGTCTAGTCTATAGTCTAATCTATAGTCTAGTCTATAGTCTAGTCTATAGTCTAGTCTATAGTCTAGTCTATAGTCTAGTCTATAGTCTAGTCTACAGTCTAGTCTATAGTCTAGTCTATAGTCTAGTCTATAGTCTAGTCTATAGTCTAGTCTATAGTCTAGTCTATAGTCTAGTCTATAGTCTAGTCTATAGTCTAGTCTATAGTCTAGTCTATAGTCTAGTCTATAGTCTAGTCTATAGTCTAGTCTATAGTCTAGTCTATAGTCTAGTCTATAGTCTAGTCTATAGTCTAGTCTATAGTCTATAGTCTAGTCTAGTCTAGTCTATAGTCTGGTCTATAGTCTAGTCTATAGTCTAGTCTATAGTCTAGTCTATAGTCTAGTCTATAGTCTAGTCTATAGTCTAGTCTAGTCTAGTCTATAGTCCTAGTCTATAGTCTTGTCTATAGTCTAGTCTATAGTCTAGTCTATAGTCTAGTCTATAGTCTAGTCTATAGTCTAGTCTATAGTCTAGTCTATAGTCTAGTCTAGTCTAGTCTAGTCTATAGTCTAGTCTATAGTCTGGTCTATAGTCTGGTCTGTAGTCTAGTCTACATTCTAGTCTATATTATACAGTCTAGTCTTGTAAACAGTCTAGTCCACTATATACTTTTTCTATAGTCCAGTCTATACTCTAATATATATTCTAGTTTATATTCCAGTTATAGTCTAGTCTATATTCTAGTCTATAGTCTAGTCTATAGTCTAGTCTATAGTGTAGTCTATATTCTAGTCTATATTCTAATCTATAGCCTAGTCTACAGTTTAGCCTATAGCCTATTCTATAGTCTATTCTATAGCCAGGTCTATTGTCTAGTCTATAGTCTAGTTTATTGTGTAATCTATAGTGTAATCTACAGTCTAGTCTATAGTGCAATCTATAGTCTAGTCTATAGTGTAATCCGTAGCCTAGTCTATAGCCTAGAATATAGTCTCGTATATAGTCTATAGTCTAGTCAAAAGTATAGTCTATAGTCTAGTCAATAGTCTAGTCAATAGTCTAGTAAATAGTCTAGTCTATAGTCTAGTCTATAGTCTAGTCTATAATCTAGTCTATAGTCTAGTCTATTGTCTAGTCTATAGTCTAGTCTATGGTCTAGTCTATAGTCTAGTCTGTAGTCTAGTCTATAGTCTAGTCTATAGTCTAGTCTATAGTCTAGTCTATAGTCTAGTCTATAGTCTAGTCTATAGTCTAGTCTATAGTCTAGTCTATAGTCTAGTCTATAGTCTAGTCTGTAGTCTAGTCTACAGTCTAGTCTACAGTCTAGTCTACAGTTAAAAATTGTTAAAATGTTATTTTTATTATTTATTTTATCTCTCTTCAATTTCTTGTCTTGTATTTATTGTTTTCTTAAAGAAATGACGTAAAACAGAGGAGAAAAGCAAAGACAAGATAAAAAATAAAACAAAAGAAGTTATAAACACAAACACTTTATAATGGTTCTCATTAAACTCTTGATTCACTTTATTGTTTAAACAAAAGTGGTTAAATATTTTAGTACTTTTCAGAAAAAATATCAAACAAACAAAGACCTTCAAATTGTTATAGTCGTTGCAACTTAAAAAAAAAGCTGAATATTTTAATTAAAATTTACAACAATTATTTATAATTTTAAAATACTAATTAAGTAGTAATGCTTTTTGTAAGTTTACAATTTGTTATTAGTTACACTTTGTTAAACTAAAAAAAAAGTATTTTTTTTTTAATTTGTTTACGTTCTTTTTTTTATTTTACACATTTTTTTAATTTTTTTATTAATCTTTTTTAAAGTTTGATACAAAAAATTAACACGCGTCTGAATAAACTTGTTTTAAATATTTTTAATTTTTTTGTTTAGAATTTATCACGTTTTTAAGTTTGTTGTTAAAATTTGTTTTTATAACTTTTTGTTAATTTGTATTAATTTCTCTACCGGTCTCATCAATATCGCTAACTAAACTGTTCTTTTTTTTATTAAATTATTTTTATTTTTTTATTATCATTGTTATTGTTATTATTGTTGTTGTTGTTATGGCTATTATCATTTGCTTCTCTTAACAATCGGATAATAAATAAAAAGTTTTCTCCATAACGTAGATAAAGAAACAGATATTGACTCTTAAAAAATATTTTTAAATGAGCAAGAGAGGGAGTGATTAACGATCGCAAAACGTATGAGTTTTAAGGGGAAGTACAACTAACGATTAAAATGAAACTAACAAAAAACTAATAACACTTCAAACTATAGATCAGAGTATAGACTAGGCTATAGACTAGAGTATCGACTAGACAATAGACTAGAGTAGACTACAGACTAGTCTGTAGCCTAAAATGCACATAGACATTATATTAGACTATAGAATAGACTGTGTGCTAGACTATAAAATACACTAAGAACTAGACTTGGGTTAGACAATAGCCCTGACTCCAGGATAAACAACAGACTTGACTATAAACTGGACTATAGACTAGATTATAGGCTAGACTAAACTATAGATTAGACTGTACACTAGACTATAGATTGGATTATAGACTAGACTATAGGCTAGAACATAGACTAGAATAGAATATATACAAGGCTAGACTATAGACCATAACATAGACTAGAATAGAGAATAGATTATAGACTAGACTATCAATTAGACGCTATAAACTAGACTATAGAGTAGACTGTAGATTAGGCTATAGACTAGACTAGATATAGACTAGACTATAGACTAGACTATAGACTAGACTATAGACTAGACTATAGACTAGACTATAGACTAGACTATAGACTAGACTATAGACTAGACTATAGACTAGACTATAGACTAGACTATAGACTAGACTATAGACTAGACTATAGACTAGACTATAGACTAGACTATAGACTAGACTATAGACTAGACTATAGACTAGACTATAGACTAGACTATAGACTAGACTATAGACTAGACTATAGACTAGACTATAGACTATAGATCACACTATAGACTAAATTATAGACTAGACTATAGACTTTAATTGGTTATCTTTCCCCTCTACTTTTCCTTTTAAACCTTGATCACTCTCTTCTTCTATCTCTCTCTCTCACACTATTTCAAAATCTTAAGAATATTTTCATACGGCATTAATTTTTTTATGAAATTCAGACAATAATTGTTGTGCCATTAGACATGAGTTGTTGTAAAATGTGAAAACACTTGTCAAATCATTTCGTATCTGTGACTGTCTGTCAGGCAAGTTTACAAGCATTATTTTGACAGAGAAACGAAACAGATCGTGGCATTATAAAGCACTTAAAAAGACACCAATTGTCATTGAATGACACACGCCTTTTATGAATTCATTATTGACATTTAAGTATTTTATAATATTTTCTGTAAATAACGTACAACAACATATGGGGAAGATTACGAATAACAAATTAAATTCTTAGATAATAAATCTGACCGAGTTTTTATGCTTTTGTGTGATTTTTTTAATGCGATAATAAAGATTTTACTATCTGATTAAAATATTCTAATGAGTTTTTCTCCGTATTAAAAAAATTATTTTTTGTAGTATTTTATTATTAAATAACGACTTTCTGAAAACATTTAAAATTAATTAAAAATTTATTTCGCCGTTTCAATAAACAAAAAGTAAAAGTGACGTTAATACAAAATTTACTGATTACATTCTAATCAGAGCTGTTTCTGCTTAATCTCTCGCTATTGATTCTCACACATTTCATCATAAGTACCGGTGGGTAAAACATCTTGTAGCAGTTCCATAACCTTAGTCAAGGGGCACTGAAAACTACAGCCCGGTAAAGTTAAAGATTCTAAAGCATTTTTTGGACCATTTTGGAAATAAAGCTGAAATTTTAAGAATTTAGTTAAAATTCTTCATTATTATCAAATTATAACTCACCTCCATATAATATTCCTTAGTATCTCTATCTTGATGCAATTCAAACAATATTAAGGCCGCAAAATTAGGCATTTGCCTTTTCCATACATTCAAACCAATCAATATATTGGTGATAGTCCAATCATGAGCACTATAAATAAACATTTTCCTCTCCTTAGGCTTAAGCGTACCATTAGCTTTATCCAACATTTGTTTGGTCAACATTTCAAGAAATGGTCCTGCCTTAATGCGTTTCATTTCGGGAGTTACCACTAAATCGACATAACTTTGTTCGGCCATATAACGCATTTTATCGGGATATAAGTTTCGTGTCCAATCGGGTAATTTTAAGCCATATAATTGCTGTTAAATTAAAAGTGTTAAAAAATAATATCTTTCTGATATGTTAAACCACAATACCTCTGCCCATAGCGTTATAAATATAGAGCTGACATCGCCAGATTTGGTCACATTATCACCCGTTACCTGGGTTAACTGTTCAAAGAGACCTTCAGGTTTCTCTTGTCGTGCTACCTTGCTTTCCATTTCAGAGTAGGCCCGACAATTAGTCTGCATACGCAATGCCTAGAAAATACCAAAAACAATTTAGAGTACACCGGAAATAATTGACTCGACTATATACTAGTCTATAGAATAGCCTATAGAACATACTATAGGGTAAACTATTGACAAGACTACATACAAGGCATCAGACTAGATTATAGACAAAACTATAGTCTAGACTATGGATTAGACTATTGACTTAAGACTATACTTTAGACTAGGCCTTAAACCAGATTTAAGGCTGGAGTGTACACTAAACTATGTACTAGGCTATAGATGAGACTATGGACTAGTCTAAAGATTAAACTACAGACTAGTTTAAAGACAATTCTATAGACTAGAATATAGAGCAGATTATAGACTATAATTTAGACCAGTCTTTAGACTAGACTTTAGACTAGACTTTAGACTAGACTTTAGACTAGACTTTAGACTAGACTTTAGACTAGACTTTAGACTAGACTTTAGACTAGACTTTAGACTTGACTTTATACTAGACTTTAGGCTAGACTTTAGACTAGACTTTAGACTAGACTTTAGACTAGACTTTTGACTATACTTTAGACTAGACTTTAGACTAGACTTTAGACTAGACTTTAGACTAGACTTTAGACTAGACTTTAGACTAGACTTTAGACTAGACTTTAGAATAGACTTTAGACTAGACTTTAGTCCAGACTTTAGACTAGACTTTAGACTAGACTTTAGACTAGACTTTAGTCTAGACTTTGGACTAGATTTTAGAATAAATTTTGGACTAGACTTTAGACTAGACTTTAGACTAGACTTTAGACTAGACTTTAGACTAGACTTTAGACTAGACTTTAGACTAGACTTTAGACTAGACTTTAGACTAGACTTTAGACTAGATTTAGACTAGACTTTAGACTAGACTTTAGACTAGACTTTAGACTTAGACTAGACTTTAGACTATACTTTAGACTAGACTTTAGACTAGACTTTAAGCTGCATTTTCCACTACACAAAACTTTAAACTAGACTTTATACTAAGCTTTAGACTAACTTTAGGCAAAACTTTAGACTAGTCTTTAAACTACATTTAATAGACTTCAGACTAAGCTTTAGACTTTACACTAGACATTAGGCTAGTTTATAGACTAGACTAGGTTAGACTATAGTTGACACTTAGTAATTTGTACTACTTACCACATCTTTATCCAAAGGTTCTGAAAAGATCGGTATCGGCTGCCAATTCATTTTAGGATTCCATTTCATGGGTGTGTTATTGGGAGGAAACATACCAGCCAATACTGTGGCCATAGACATAAGAGTGCGGGGTGAGGCTGTCGATCTAGCATACACTGACTGTAGAAGAATAAGAATATTATAAAAATTAAATGACCTTAATGTCAGAGAATAGACTTTCTATAAAAAGTCGATAAAGTCATCTAAATGAAGTATTGACAATAGAGTGATTTCCTGCGATAGAATTATATGGGATGTAGTGTTAATTATGTACCTTTACAGATATAAAAGTTTAAGCCATTTTCTGAAGGGAGCCTTTTATAGGGGGACTATGATCAAATGTGGAGTGATTTTGCTTAATTTCAATACCAAGCAGATAGCATCAATAAAATTCAGACAGATAGACAGACAGACAGACAGACAGACAGACAGACAGACAGACAGACAGACAGACAGACAGACAGACAGACAGACAGACAGACAGACAGACAGACAGACAGACAGACATACAGACAGACAGGCAGACAGACAGACAGACAGACAGACGGACAAACATTTTCTGAGGGGAAACATATATGGGGACTATGGTCTAATGTGTGATTTTGGGTAATTTCAATGCCAAGCTGACAGCATAAATAAAAAGTCAGAACGACGTACAGATAGACTGACTGACGGACAGATAGATAGACGGACGAGGCAAGATACATAGTTTTAGAATAATAATAAGGTAATATCGGAATGACACAATCACTGAAAAATATTCAACTTACCTCTGGCTTATAGTAGGGTGCTAAGAACTCCTGATAACGTCGGCCTAACCATTTGCCCATTTGATAAAGATCTCGTTTGCCATTCTATAATTAGATGAATTAGAAATATTTTCATTTAATTTCTTTATCCAACTTACATTAGTTAAGTGACCCCAACCATAGGGGAAAAAGGTTTCATTTTTATAAGGATCATTAGAATAAGTATTAACAGGGGTTCTAATGCCATGACGAAAAAGCTGTAATTAAAAGAGAATAATAATTTAATTAAAGTATCATAAAATATTTTATCTAACAATCTTTTATTTGTATATTCAACCTTACCACATGTGCCAACTTTAGAGTCGTTTGCTTTACTGCAGCCAACTTTGGTTCCCTCGTTGTTTCATAGGCCCCCACTTGTAAATTTTGTATTAAATACAATAAAATAATTAACAATAAACACGGCGACTTCATAGTTGTTAGATCAAATGTTAGTTCTAAACTAAATGTAAGTAATCAAACAACTTTTATTAAAATATCTAGAGAATAATATCAACAATTTCAACTCAAATAATACTGTATGTATTTGAAATTTGGAACAAATATATAATAAATTAAATTTTTGAGTTGAAGTATGTTTTTTTTTCACCAAAAAACCCCAAAAGTGTGATAAACAATTAGTTTTGGTGGGTAAATTTTATGGGTATTCAATTGCTGTATACTAAGACCAGCAGCTATGACGACTTAAATGCGATAATGCAGGGCTATTCCTTTTAATATAGTATCATGCAGAAGTGGGTGACTTTATAAAAAACATATGAAGTTGTCCACAGAAAGCAATTGCGCACAGTGAACACTGCTTTTGTCTGATAATAAAGTACCTTCGTCTCTCAACAATCAGTTGCCCATCACTGTTTCAATGCAAACAAGTGGATCGTGAGATCTAACTGTATAGCTGTACTAAAATCTTTTAATTAAGCACAAAATTTTTCTGCTGCAGGTTCTTATAGTTAGCTTTATAAATATTTAACTGTAATAAAATTTATTTTAATTATATATTTATTTAGATTTACAATGTATTGTAAAAGTGATTTTTTATAAATATCTGTAAATTAACCGCATATTAGAAAAAATATCAAAGCAATTAAATAAATTTTTAATGACTTTCAAACAAACTTGTACCGATATCTGCAGCGATATAAAGTAAGGGCATGTAATAAGAAACTAACATTTTAAAAAGAAATTTTAAAAGGAGGCTTCGTATAGGGGCTTGGATCAAAAAATTAGGATCATCAAGGCCAGTATAGAACTTGGTTTTGCAGTTTTTTTTTTCGTATCCCGAGCATATTAAACATGATTATTCGCGCCGTTCAGTTGTATGAGAGCTAGGTGAAATAATGGATCGATGCTAAACATTTTCAGTAGGGTTCGCCACTGGTACAATAGAAGATCATGTGCTAAATTTCATTGAATTACCTTTAAAAGGTTCGCAAGCCCTATTTCGGGGTTCAGTTCAGTTTGATTATAAAGACGGGGCGGACGGATGGATTCTAAGCCGATTGGTATACTTTACAAACATCAGCACAAACCCAAATATACCCTCCCCACTAAAGTGATATAGGGTATAACAAGTCAAATTTCCATGATATACAAAATTTAAAAAAAAAAAACACTGATTCAGAGAAAAATACACAAAACTCTTTTAAAGAACGTCTCTGCCGGAAATAGAATTTAAAAATATTTAGAAAATCGCTAGTTAGTTAGTTAGTTATTTAGTTAGTTAGTTAGTTAGTTAGTTAGTTAGTTAGTTTTAGTTAGTTTAGTTTAGTTAGTTAGTTGTTAGTTAGTTAGTAGTAGTAGTTAGTTAGTTAGTTAGTAGTTAGTTAGTAGTTAGTAGTTAGTTAGTTAGTTAGTTAGTTAGTTGTTAGTAGTAGTTAGTTAGTTATTAGTTAGTTAGTTAGTTAGTTTAGTTAGTTAGTTAGTTAGTTAGTAGTAGTTAGTTAGTTAGTTAGTTAGTTTAGTTAGTTAGTTAGTTAGTTAGTTAGTTAGTTAGTTAGTAGTTAGTTAGTTAGTTAGTAGTTAGTTAGTAGTTAGTTAGTTAGTTAGTTAGTTAGTAGTTAGTTAGTTTTAGTTAGTTAGTTAGTAGTTAGTTAGTTAGTTAGTAGTAGTTAGTTAGTTAGTTAGTAGTTAGTTAGTTAGTAGTTAGTTAGTTAGTTAGTTAGTTAGTTAGTTAGTTAGTTAGTTAGTTAGTTAGTTAGTTAGTTAGTAGTTAGTTGTAGTTAGTTAGTTAGTAGTTAGTAGTTAGTTAGTTAGTTAGTTAGTTAGTTAGTTAGTTAGTTAGTTAGTTAGTTAGTTAGTTAGTTAGTAGTTAGTAGTAGTTAGTAGTTAGTTAGTTAGTTAGTTAGTTAGTAGTTAGTTAGTTAGTTAGTTAGTTAGTTAGTTAGTTAGTTAGTTAGTTAGTAGTTAGTAGTTAGTTAGTTAGTTAGTAGTTAGTTAGTTAGTTAGTTAGTTAGTTAGTTAGTTAGTTAGTTAGTTAGTTAGTTAGTTAGTAGTTAGTTAGTTAGTTAGTTAGTTAGTTAGAGTTAGTTAGTTAGTTAGTTAGTTAGTTAGTTAGTTAGTTAGTTAGTTAGTTAGTTAGTTAGTTAGTTAGTTAGTAGTTAGTTAGTTAGTTAGTTAGTTAGTTAGTTAGTTAGTTAGTTAGTTAGTTAGTAGTTAGTTAGTTAGTTAGTTAGTTAGTTAGTTAGTTAGTTAGTTAGTTAGTTAGTTAGTTAGTTAGTTAGTTAGTAGTTAGTTAGGTTAGTTAGTAGTTAGTTAGTTAGTTAGTTAGTTAGTTAGTTAGTTAGTTAGTTAGTAGTTAGTTAGTTAGTTAGTTAGTTAGTTAGTTAGTTAGTTAGTTAGTTAGTAGTAGTTAGTTAGTTAGTTAGTTAGTTAGTTAGTTAGTTAGTTAGTTAGTTAGTTAGTTAGTAGTTAGTAGTTAGTTAGTTAGTTAGTTAGTTAGTTAGTTAGTAGTTAGTAGTTAGTTAGTTAGTTAGTTAGTTAGTTAGTTAGTTAGTTAGTTAGTTAGTTAGTAGTAGTTAGTTAGTTAGTTAGTAGTTAGTTAGTTAGTTAGTTAGTTAGTTAGTTAGTAGTTAGTTAGTAGTTAGTTAGTTAGTTAGTTAGTTAGTTAGTAGTTAGTTAGTTAGTTAGTTAGTAGTTAGTTAGTAGTTAGTTAGTTAGTTAGTTAGTTAGTTAGTTAGTTAGTTAGTTAGTTAGTTAGTTAGTTAGTTAGTTAGTTAGTTAGTTAGTTAGTTAGTTAGTTAGTTAGTTAGTTAGTAGTTAGTTAGTAGTAGTTAGTTAGTAGTTAGTAGTTAGTTAGTTAGTTAGTTAGTTAGTTAGTTAGTTAGTTAGTTAGTTAGTTAGTTAGTCGTTAGTTAGTTAGTTAGTTAGTTAGTTAGTTTTTTGTGTGCTTTTTTTAGTTACTTATGTCAACTGATATTGTGTTATCTACTACTTAACACCTTAGTGCCTTTACTAAGCTTTTAGTAACATATAAAAGCTTTTTCAAATTTTTAAGATCGACTTTTTAAATGTTTCGCCTACAAATAGCCAACACTTGCACCTTCTAAGTGTCGATGTTTAATACACATAAATATAAACACGTGCTTTGTAGTATAACAAATAAACAAGCTTTTCGGGTTGAAGCTCTTTTTGAAAACTTATAGCTTTTACTGCATGCAAAAGTGTTTCTCTTGCATAACCTAACGCTTAACTATAACAAGCAAAGTCTTATGATTAAAAGAAATCTAAATCATAGGATTGAAGCTAGTCTATGTCTAGTCATTCTGTTTACTCCAGATATAGAATTTAATCAAATATTTAATATAAAAATATAAGACTAAACTTGATTTGTTTAAATTAACTAAACCAGGTTTAAGAAACATTATTACTTTAACCAGCATGTATGTATAAAATAGTAACCTTGTAATTATTCAATATCAAAAAAACGTGATCTTGCGGTGAACTGTTATATTTGTGACTTTGTTAAATATAAATTACTGTAATTGCAAAATATGCAAAATTACTTTGAAATAACCGTTACTAAGATCAAGTTCAAAAAACTCCACAAATACAATTATAAACAATTAACTTCTTTGCTAAATTAGAGCATTAATAAGCGAGTGACTATTATTTTCGAAAACTATATAAAATTATATTTAATTACAAATTTACAAAATTTATTTTTATAAAATTTATAAACAACTTAAAACCATAATACTGGTTAAATATGTATTTGTTCTAGATACTTATAGCTAATTATAGGGTGGTTGGTTAGTTAGTTGCAAGGCCAGCTCTTGTGTGCAAAAAGGTATGTGTTGCAGCTGCCAGTTACTGATCTATCAGCCTTGGTGGTGGTTCAATGAAATTACTATTTTTGGCAGTACAACGATCCGCATATGATTTATTTGGCAAGACATCCTGACTTAGCAGCAGTAACTTGTCCAACGGACACTTAAGATCACAGTGGGGTATTTGTAATTGTTTGAGACAGCCCTGCTCATCATTGCGCAAGAAGATCTATAATTTAAGCATAGAATTAGAGAACAAATTTTATGATTTTATGAAAAACATACCTCCACATAATACTCCTGTGTTATGGGATTTTTATGCAGTTCAAATATGGCCATTACCGAAAACCTAGGCATTTGTCTATCCCATACCTTTAGGGCAGACAATATATTACCCACTGTCCAATCATGACCCGTATAAAATAAACATTTTTCTATCAAAAGGCTTAAGCTTTTGAGCCCTTTTCTTCAACATCTCATCGTACATTTCTTTAGGAAAGGACCTCCCTTTATCTTTTGCATTTCCCTAGTATAAGCATTATAAACATAACTCTGTTCAGCCAAAAATTGCATTTATCGGGGAAATAATCTTTCGTCCATTCGGGTAGCGGCAAACCAAAATCTCTCTCCGCCTCCAGAGTAATATAAAGAGAATTGATGTGTTCAGCATTACTCACATTCATACCCGTTAGTTCAGTTAGATTTTTGAATAGAGATTGATATTTCAACATTTCCGCTTTAACTTCGGGTAATTCGAACACCTCATCTCGAGCCTCAAAATATCGAGGGCAAGGGGTGCGTACTAAAAGCAATGAATCTTGATCCAAGGGTTCTGAGAATATGGGTATAGGCTGCCAATTGAGAGTAGGATGCCATTCCATGGGAGTATTTTGGGGTGGAAACATGCTGGCTAAAACGGTAGATAAGGTCATCATGGCTCTAGGGGAAGCAGTAGCTTGGGCATAAACTTTCTACAAAGAAATACATATAGAAAACATTAGAAAAAATGGTCTCGTTTTAAAAAATAATTGCTTACATCTGGTGTATAATACGGTTCCATATACTTTCCATAACGTTTATTTAGTAATTTGCCCAATTCATATAACTCCCTTTTACCTTTCTATAGTGCCAAAAAAAATCTTCTTAAATTGTGTAAAAAATAACTAAAACAAAACAAACTTACATTGGTTATGTGACCCCAACCGGTAGGCTCAAATCCACTATTTACATAAGGATCTCTAGGGTAGGTATCTACTGGTGTTCGGGGACCATGTCGCAAAACCTTTGAACAAAAAAATAAGTTAAAAATAACATATAAGCTAAATATATACAGATTTTACTATAGCCTGCGCCATAGTCAAGTTTAAGTTTGGACTATGGACTAAAATAATCCAGTCAATAGTCCAGCTTATATACAGTCCACAGTCTAGTCAACTAGATAGTCTATAGTGTCTCTAGTCTAGTCTAGATTGGTCTATAGTCTAGTCTATAGTCTAGTCTATAGTAGTCTATAGTCTAGCTTAGTATAGTCTTTTGTCTATGTCTAGTCTATAGTCTAGTCTAGTCTAGTCTATAGCTAGTCTATAGTATAGTCTATAGTCTAGTCTATAGTCTAGTCTATAGTCTAGTCTATAGTCTAGTCTATAGTCTAGTC